TGAACTCACAACTCCTTGGGTTAAGTCACTGGATCTAAACAACGCTTTATCCACTGGGCCATGTTTCCTTGAGTGGATAAAAGCGTTAGTTGTAATAAGGGGTTCAGTTCGAAATTTGCAGTCACCTGAAGAAAGCTGGAGCGTACAACGGCCGAAACGTTGTGAATATGGCAACAAAGATGAGGACACCAGGCAACCAATGAAAATAGTGTAAATAATATCAATATACAGCACTCACATCTCCTCATGGATGGTGGAAGCTTTCATTCAGAATAAGACAATGAATGGATGGTTTGAAGGTTCATTTTGATTTTCTCATTATATATCTCTTATTGTATTGGGATAGCTATCAAATAGGCATTTATTGTATTTAAGAACCCATACCATCCAGTCGTCAGTTAATACTGGTATCTCCTTTTTGCCATATATTATAAGCATTTTCCTTAAAGTTCATATTTTATTGATTTCAGATGAAAGCATAGACATTTTCTAATATTTTCAGCGCTATGTTCACTTTCGCCAGTTTATCAAAATTGACATAATTTCGTTTATTGATTCTTACACTGAAGAGGGAAGAAAAAAAGCAAAATTTTTGATGCATCATTTTGCGGATGGGGAGGGAATAGAAAGGTAAAGTTGCACTTTGTGTCATTTATATAAATTTATTGGTTGATTAATTTGTTTTTACGGCTTATAAATCAGTTGCGGGTATTTTAAGCCAGAAAATATTCTTAGGTTGTAAGTATTTTTTGGCTATAATAATGATTTACCAATACAAGTCCTACTAATCCACCTATAGCTGGGAGGGGGGAAGAGGTGAATCCCTACATTTTTCAAGGATATTTGCGTGTAAGTGAATATAACGAACTCGACTGGAATTGGAACTCGGCTTTCCGATTCCAAATTCTGAGTCATTATCCATTACACCACCCGCACATCGAAACTTACAGCAACTGGTATTCCCAAGCGGTCACCCATCTAGGTTCTGAATAGGCTCGACGTTCGCCTGAACGCGGCAAGAATACTGTGGAAGATGATTTGTGAAACCTTACTGTCACTCGATAGCCAGAAAACACAACTAGGATCCGACGTGAATATGGAAACATAATAATAATAATAATAATAGTTTTTTTTTTACAAAAAATGATCAATGGAAAATGTTATGAAGCCGTGTTGCTTAACTTCAGTAATCTGATGAGAACCTCTGTTACAATGTGATATGACATTAAGCTGCCATTTATATAGAAAGTCCGATCGTAGAAAAACGATTTGCAAGGATTGTCCTAAATACTTATCACTAACTAATGCTCCATGGACGGGTTGACCAACTGAGATTGATAACAATCTTATAAAATTATTACTTGCGAATAAGCAATATTATACGATACAATCGATGACTGAAATATTGAAAATATTTAAATAAATGATTGAAAATCATTTACGCCAGTTTGATTATGTTAGCTTTGATGTACAGCGATAAAACTTACTGAACCATATTTAAATATAACGTTTGTGAAATAAATAGTGACGGATGATGAAAAGTTGATAACAGCATGAAACATAAGAGATGAAGCGTAAAGCACGCGAAATGAACCGCATTTAACCTCATCAAAGGTAAGTCTCCATCCAAATGCGGTGAAGATGTTGTGATTGGAAGTGAATCCCTTCCAGGATACCAAAAGATTGTTTCGAACGCATACTGCTGCCAACTACACAAACTAAAGGTAGCAATCAAGGAAATTACTTAAGAGACGATTTGTAACATTCCGTCAACATAACAACTGGTTACATTTTGTGTTTTGTTTTGTTTTACGTCATATCAAATATTTTCCAGGTGATTTAATACCGAATTCAGGCATTTTCAAGCATAGTTGCATGGTTTGTTTGTTTGTTTTTTTAAAAAAAACATTGCTTTGAGAAAAAAATATTATGCCATTTATTTTAGTATTTTACAGGAGAAGTTATGAAAATAAACAAAAAAAACGTGTTTTTAAACTAAGAGAAATTGGAGAATTAACTTAGCATCCGTATTCCTAGTGGCTTTAAACTCACTTTTTATTTTCTTGTAGCCAGTAAAAAAACTTTTACAGACTGACTAGGAAGGTTGTCATCATCCATCACCCTATTCATAAGATATTTCCTCTTATTTATTTTATTTTGATCTTTACAAAATTAAAAGAAAATCCCTTAATAAAAACAAAAGAAAAAGTTAATTTCCCTGAAAGACCGTAAAAGGCACCGAGAGCCGTTCTTTCCTAAGAAGAAACAAATTTCTGAACATAGAATAATGAAGTTGCTTGAAAGATGGCAGAAGGTTGTGGAAGAAAATGGAAACTAAGTTAATACAATTAATGTCGAAAATAAAAATGTCTCTTAGTTTAATAAATCAAACGAATTTTTATGCAAGCTAATAAAATGATGACACGTTAAAATATAAACAAATAACTCTGTCCTGGCGATCAAATTTAGTGGTTGCAAACAAAAAGAAAATGGTGTATATGACTGTTCCAAAGGAGCACAGAACAAAATTAAAAGTAAGTAGACATTAACATTTTAAACAAATTAACCGAGAGTTGCAAACAGTGGAATATGAAGGTCATTGTTTCGTCGGTTGATTTTATTTGGCGGCATGTTGACCTCTATGCCAAATGCCAAAATCTAAATATTTTGAACACATTTTTATGGCTTCAACTAAATATATACTATAAATAGGTATTGTTGGTAATTTTACTATAAATATGTATTGTTGTTTTTTTTATATAAAAATGTATTTTTATACTTTCATAATGTTTTCTTTTTGTTTGAGGATTTACAATTCGACGATAGCTGGGACCCTAACAAAAGCTACCACCCCGGTTTAGAGTGGACTTGGTAACGGCAGCAATTAAGAGGTGGTTCTACGCCCCTCAAAACCTCAATCTCCTGATCAAAGGCTTTACTGCTGGATGTAGTTTATCGTCAAAACCAGGATTATGAAGGTTATGAAAATGAGAGTAATTCTTAGAGGACAGGAAACGCTCGCGCTAATTCTTATAGAGAGATTAGAACATAAGTCAAAGAAGAACTTACGAGATAGGATCGGAAAGTTCTTGAGATGGTCTAAAATAAAAATAAATAAATAAAATCTTCAGCAGTATTTCAGTAAATATTTCATAAATTATTTTAATTAACACTGCTGGATAAGTTCCTGGACGAGTTCAACAATTTATTTAGCATTTTTGGACGTTCTGCTTTAAATCGCTTTTAACGTTTATCCTCTTGAATCGGAAGTTTACGGCCATATCTCACTGAACCAACGGTCTTTGATGACTGAAGTTAAGCAACGCAATGCCTGGTCAGTACCTAGATGGGTGACCGCTTGGTAATACCAGGTGTTGTAAGCTTAGATGTGCGGGTGGTGCAATGGATTTCGGCTCGGAATAAGAAATCGTAGAGCCGTGTTCTAATTTCAGTCGGGTTCGTTATATTCACTTATGTGCAAATACCCTTGGCAGAGGTATGAATATACACTTTTCGTCCCCAGTTAAATAGGAGGACTTTTATCAGAAAATCATTATTATCTCCCCTCCCCCTAAAAAAAATCCTACAATTCAAAAATATTTGTTAGCTTTAAAGACTGACTCGATAGACTGAATGCGATTTTATCGTTATTTCCCCGCTCATTTTCTTTAATCAGTACATTCACAGCTCGAACAGTCCTAGAACTTTCCTGTAAGACTTCGTAAAAGTTGCGGACCTTATAAAATCGGCAAGAATCTAGAAAAGAGTTCAGGATGTTGCTAAGTCTTGGTCAGCCTCAGCGATATCTGATCTCCTTTTCTAGCAATTTATAATCTGTCCAGATATTTTACAAGAATAAATTCTAGTTAAAATATTGTAATAATAATTTACCAGAAAATATAGAAAATAGATTTTAGTGATAATCTCCTTCTATGTGATGCGTCCCTTCAGGACGTTGGCGATCATAACTCTCCACAATTTCCTGTCCGTTGTAGCTCTTAATAAATTTTGTCTTTTTGTTGTCTATCCTTATCCGCCATCCATTTACTCAAGGTCACTGGGTAGATTATGCATTGTTTTCCTTTGTTCCTCTTGCCTTCAATTTTTCCTGTGAGCATCAAATTTTCCAAGTCCTCTTTCCTCATTATGTGCCCTAGAAATTTCAACTGTCTCTACGTGATGTTAAGTATAAGTGTCCTTTTTGTTTCAATCTTCTCTAAAACTTCGATGTTGCTCGCATATTCGGTCCATGGAATTCTCAGCATCCTTCTGTAGAACTACATTTTTGTTACTTTAAGTCTCTTCATCTGTGAGGAGATTGTCTAGCATTCACTGCCGTAAAGGAGGACTGATATTACTTAACATTTCAATGCTCTTTGTCTCAAGCGAAATTCTTTTGAGATATTCATAATGAATATTTAAAACGCCATAACACGCTTTTTTCATATTAGTGCTAATAGAATATAAAAAAGCGATATTAGTGTTTTAAATAGTCATTATGAATAATTCTAAAAGAAAGTAAATATTTCAAATACAAGTAAGAGAAACAAAAATAGATGCAATCCAATTATATTGTTTAATACATCCAAAAATACGAATCTCTAAATATATTCCCTAAATGACAAAAGCCAGGTTGAACATCAGGTAAACACTCTTGCTGCTATAACGACGATGTTAATAAACACAACTCTGTACCATTCACTTGGTCATTTTGTATTAAAGTGTCTAACTTTAAGCACTTGGAGCAAGTAGTTTATCTACTTTCAATATTAGTCAACAGAGACAACCAGTAAACTAGTAAACCTGTCTCGGTGTCTTTCTATCGTCTCCATTCATTTATACTCTCTATACACTGATGAGTACGAAATCTTATTACCTATCTAATATGTTAGTCCTGCATATGACTATGTGACACATCTTCCTCGATTAGGGATGGACTGTATATAAACAAATAACCTGGAACGTTTTTCTCAAGTATTTGGTGGATTACCGCCACATGACGTTGAAACACCGGCTCCCATATGATCACCGAAGTTAAGCAACGTCGAACATGCTCAGTACCTAGATGGGTAACCATTTGTGAATATTAGATACTGTAAGCTTGGATGTGCGGGTAGTGTACAGGATAATAACCGAGCTCTAATTATAGTTGGGTTCGTCATATTCACTTACACGCAAATACCTTTGGGAAAGTTATGAATCCACCAATTCTCCCCCTAGCTATGGGTTAATTAGTAAAACTTGTGTCACTAAAACATTATTATCACCAAAAATAAAATAAACTGTCTACAAAATATTTAGATTTTGTCATTAAATTCTTCATGGAGATTGATATGCCGCTAAACAAAAACAACCAGCCAATCAAGTGTGTTGTGCCGAGATGTTAAAACAGTCATTAATTTGCTGCAAGGTGCGTGATAGAGGTCCTGAAGAGTGGGAGAGTTGGTTCAATCCACGCTAGAAGTCTTCCATAGGATTTAGTAGCTAGGTATATTTAACTGGTCTCTTCGCTCAGGCCGGATGTGACACAAGGTCATTTTAACGTTGGTAGTACGATACACATACGTTTACATATGAACCAAGAACAAAATTATTTTGCTCAGTTCCCGCGACCACTGGCATCCACGCTGGCATCAATATTACACCGATCCTTCCTTTCTTATCTGCAATGTGGAAGGTACTGCCGCAGGGTTGGTATCCTCCGAACAGGGCAAGTTGTCCCATTTAAAATGAGGAGAAACGTTTACTCCACTTCTGGCAGAAAATTTAAATCCTGTGCCAGTAGTAGCCCCACGGTGAAATTTTTCATTATTTTCAACTTATTCCGATCCAAATCGCACAATGTAACAAAACGCATTGCCCTGCTGAAAGATATCGCGGCTATTGTAGAAGATTTGTTATTACGTAAGTTTCTCTGTCAGAAAACATAACTTTCTCTAATCCGAGTCAGAAAAGCGTAATTATCGTACATACAAATAAACAGAATAATAGTATTTATAATATGCTGACGTGCCAAAAATAATAGCTTATTTGCTTAATATCACATGGGATCCACTCTCGCCCGGTGAATACAACAATTCGGCCTGGCATCGATTGCAGAAATGGTCGGAAACAAATGGAGATATATCCAAACATATTGTTTCGATAGCTATCAACACCAACCGGGCGAATGATCTTGTATGCGAGGTCTTTTCCTCCATGTTCCATAATTACTAAAATGGGCTCATATTGGGAAAGAATGGTGGTTAGACCACTTGATGGAATTTTCTATAATGCTCCTCAAACCATTTCTGGTCAATTTGAATCCAGTGACACAGGGCATCTTGTGTGTGACTGGGTCTGTTTAATATGTCCCATAAATGTTCAGTTGGGCTCATGTTGGGAGAGTGTGATGGCCGGATCACTCGGTGGAAGTTTCCAGAATGCTTCTCAAATCAATTCTAGGCTACTTGGACCATGGAGCATTATCCCGCTGAAACAATGCATGATGATCTATAATAACCTATGTGTGCAAATGGTCAACGAAACGGTCACTGGTCAATGGAGGGTTTAAGAGAACCCAATCTATACCAAGTGAACAAACCCCACGCCTTACTAGCCTTACTAGCCTGCACTGTTCCTGGTTGACATCTGGTGTTCATAGGTTCATGAGATCTGCGCCACACTCAAAACCTTACCATCAGCCCGAAACCATAATTCATAAAGCCACGCTACACGTTGACCGTGTTCCTGAGTCTAATTAGCGATATCACGAGATCAGCTGAAGGACTCTGTCCGGTGCCGTGGCATCCTAGTGAATCTTCTGCTTCCAGAGAAGCTAAAAAGCGCTAAACTTACGTCTGACACATCCTGTATTAAATGGAAATATAAAAGATAAGAGACACTCTCTTATATTTTACCACAGAAAATTCTAGCCAGTCACTCGATTAATAAAAATCCATGATCGGTCAATGTGCTGTCTACGGTGAGCGGTAATGTTTTCCGTCAGGTATTCCCGGTACACACGTGACACCACAAATCGAACAATGTCAAATATTACCACAGATTCAGAATTGGATTATCTTATCCATATGGTACCTAATACCATGTCCTATTAGGGCAGGTCGATTTTGGAGACGTGTTATTGCACTCAGTTTAAAAGTTGGGTTTTGACATGATAAATAATGAAACGAAATAAGTTTTTTCCATTTTTTTAATTTTTTTTTTTTTTGAGGAAATGAATTTAAAGATTAAATTTAGGTTCAAAATTAGAGCATTGGAAATTAATTTCAGTGATCAGTGAAAGCCTTATAAAAATTATAATTTACAGAAGCTTTTCAAACTCTACATGGACAAGATAGAAGACAAATGCATATTATTACTAAATAATTGTGTCATCAAATAAGACATTCATTTACTTCAAAGGGAAATTATGCTGAACAATTTAGCTATATTATGATGTAATACATTATACAGTCCGGTAGTTTTAAAACATTATGTCTTCTAATTTGTACCCAGCAGTATTATGGTGTTATATACACTTTTATCTATTTTTTATTTTTATTATCATCTAACAAATGATCTAACAAATTTTATTCACTGAGTAGCCATTTTTATAATCTTTTATAATTTTTTACACAGTTTTTACTTATCGAATGCATATTTTTTGTGGTCATTAATTATTAGAATTCTGGTTTGAATTTATTTTCCTTTCAGTATATCTAATACAAAAAATGTTAACTTTATTTGGATTTATTCTTGAATAAATTCTTGAATTGAAGATTTTAAACAAAAACAAGCGGAAATTAAATCTTTCTATACATTTTTTTCAGACGATCTTTCAAACTAAATGCTAACAAATTGGGAAAAAGTTATGAATCTAGTTTTTGGTCAAAATACCTATCACATCAAACCAGAGCTTTCTCATCGATCGCAATGTTAATTTTCTAAAATAAGTGAAAAATGAACCTGAACTAATTTCCCATTAGTATATCTGCCCACTTGTATTCGAGGATATCCGTCTACCAGGGCAGCTAACCAATCCCTACTTCACATGCTTGCACAGGCGCATTTGTGTTTGATCAACACCCACTGAGCCAACCTGTGGTTTATACTGCAACTATGCTGAACAGACCTTAGTTTCAGTGTCTGTGTGTTATCTCGCGTGATCAACAATTTGAACAAGGCCAGCACGCTCAAATTCTCGACCACGACGAGTTGTGACTTCGTGCTAGCACAGCTATCGACAGCCCCCAAGAGTTTCGTCAACCCTATTTCACTCACAAGGCTTTGGTCAACCAGTGGTATGGTTTTCAGTCATTTTCCAAAGGTGCCGCACTCTGGGATCGACCCCTCCAGTCTGATAAACATTAGGAAGTCTCCTTCCTGACAAATCGACCACGGTGAGATTCGATCCCGGATCTCATAGTCAGAATGCGAACGTTCTAATCACTCGGTCACGTACTCATTAAAACTCTAATAATTCACTTCGGTTTGCCATGAGTTGACGATCGTTGACAAAGTAGACAACTGGCATTGATTTGGGCATTTCCACCACTTTCATGGTTTAGTGGTGCCACCTACCATTACATTTATACACTGCGCTTCAATGACTTTTAGCGCTTCAATTTAGTTATGCTATTTTTTAACAAAGAATATGCAATGAACAATAACAGCTTATATTTCTCTACTCTGTCTAAAATCTTAAAAATTTATCTGTCACTTATGTGCCATGCATGATATACTCTTAGGGGATCATGTATCTTTCGATACATGACTGACGAGGCAATTTTTCCTGCAGTAGGTTGCCATTTCTTTCTGCGGTAGACCAGTTGCCATCCAGTGCTATAGAACCCGGTCTGTCCTTCTATTTAGCCATAGCTGGGAGAGAAGAGGAGGATTCATACCTTTACACGGGTATTAGCACGTAAGTGAATGGAATGGACTGGAATTCGAACACGGCTCTCCGATTTCTCAATCCGAGCCGCTATCCATTACTTCACCTTGCCTGCTATATACTTTCTACGAAATCTAAAATGTTAACTTGAAAATAAAACAATGCTCAAATCAATGCTAGTATTTTAAGTTGCGTATCATTTTGGAAAATGTATTTGTTTCCTTCTTCCACCAGAGTGAAAATATCTGCAATTACTACTATTTCTACTATTACGACAATTGCTTGTTTGATGATGATGATGATGATGATGATGATGGTGGTGATGATGCTGGTGATGATGGTGATGAAAGAAGGCAAGTCAGAAGCCGATTCGTTTCGTAATGATATCAGGTTGTAAAAGTACTGCATAATTGATTTGACGCGTGAAGTAAAAGGAGACTTCGAATGTCGAAAAAGTTATTGCGTCGAAAATAAACAGCGAAGACAGAAGAAACACATTCTAGTAAAAGCTTGTTTGTAAATTTGTGAACGATTATATTACAAGTTTTAGGCGTGGAATGAATATAACGATAATAGCAACAAAAAAAAAAAAGAAAAATTTTAAAAAAATGGGATTTTCCCAAGTCGTGTAGTGTCGTGCCTCATTAATTAAACAAGAAGGAATAATAGTAAAATAGAAAATGGCCACAGATTTTACCTTGTTTCCACCAGGTCTTTTGTTCGGCTTCATGGCTATTCGTTAAAGAACTTGCTACACAGTTTTTGAAAAGAGTGCACCAATTTCTTTTTATATTGCGCTGATTTTACGAGAACGTTGCTGCTGGATTTCTTTTTATATAGTATTTTAAACACACACATGAGCAGAATGTTACTCGGTTATGTGATAGCCACCCACTAAAAAATTATAAACTTAGATGAATTATGATTATTTTTTCTAATTCAAATTCGATCAGAGACTTGCAGCTGATTCTTTCCCTTACCCTAGCCTTACTGTAACAGCCCAATGGGGGAATAACTGGATTGCTATTTTAAATACATCAAAAAACAATCTAGTATCATTTCATCAGTACCGTTCCGACCGTGAGTTTGTTCCAGGCGATCGATGAATATTATAGCTCTTAATGAAGTTCCATGCTTTGATTGTCTGTTGGGTTAAAAGATCACGCCAGTCCTCAAATGAATCTCATATATTTAATCCATTTCCAACGAAGCTGGAATAAGACAG